TCCTTCTGCCATGACGCTTCCTTATCGGCTGTACTCTCTGCACCTCTTGTCGCCCTTCTGCCTCTTTGCCACTTGCGATTGCATCGGAAGTTGGGGGATGATAGCGAAGAGACCCCAACCAGGAAATCGGTTTCGGTTGCGATTCGTGCCTTTCGTGCGGGTGAGGCGAAGCTGCGCGAGGGCGACGATGTGCCGTCGTAGGTCGGGCAACATCGCGCAACAAGTTTGTCCTCGGGTTTCGCGATTTTTTGTTGCCGTGGTCATCCCACGGTGGTCCAGTGGTTGTCTCGTGGTTGTCCCACTGTTGTCCAGTGGGATATCCCGTGGTTATCCCGTGGGTTGTTTTGTGGGTTGTTGTCCCGCGGGTTGACCCGCGGGTGTCCCGTGGTTGTCCCGTGGGTTGTCCCGTGGGTTGTCCCGTGCTTGTCTCGTGGGTTGTTCTTGGTTGTCTCGTGGGAGTGCGGATGGAAATGCAAATCCAATCGCAATACATATATATATATGTATATATATATGCGACGGAATGAAGATCTCGCCGCAAGTCGAATTGCAATCTGGAATGCATGACAAACTGAAAATCGAGATGCACATCCAATTGCAGCCGTACTGCAGCCCGATAATTCAATCAATGGCAAATGATACTACAATTCGTAGTGCACATCCTTTTGCATTCGATATGCAGGCCGGCATTCGAATCGACATGAACATTGGAATGAACATCGGAATGCAGTGTGGAGTGCACTTCAAATTGCATATCGGGATGCATGTCGAAATGTACATCAAATCGCAATCGGCATTTAGATCGAACTGCAAGCCGGACTGCCCATCGGAATGCAAGCAACGTGCAAAGCGGCTTGCAAAGGCAACTGCAATCGCAATGCATACATCTGCAGTCGCAATGTACATCGAAGTGCAAGTTCGATAATAATTCACACGCGGAGGTCGGGGAACCTGATGACGAGGAGGGGAAGGAAGGAGGAGGAGGACGAGGACGAGGAGGAGGAGGACGAGGAGGAGGAGGAGGATGAGGAGGAGGAGGAGGAGGAGGAAGGGCGCCTCGCCCTGCCACTGGTCTTGTGCCCATTTCTTGCCCAGCCGAGCTCGCGAGGTACTTAGCGCAAAGGTGACAGAGACAAAGGCACTGAAAGACGCACTGGAGGTTGCTGACGCTTCTGCTTCACTTCGCCTTCCACTGGTCCCCCCTTTGCTCTCCTCCTTCTCATCCTTCTCCACCGCCTCACCATTCTCTTTTGCTCCGAGTCCTTGCTGTCACTGCGGTCTAGAGAGACGAACGCGTTTCTTTCCCCTTTCTCGTTGTCGTTGTCGGCCTCCTCTATCCTTTTCTTGCTCATCCTGCGCCTCCATTGACGGTGTCCTGCTTTTCAGGGCAGGTGCAGGAGTTGACGATGGTGCATGAATTGACGATACGTGCATTCGCGGCTCTGTCGAAGGATGAAGACGACAGGGAGGAGCAGGAGGAGGATGAGGAGGAGGATGAGGAGGAAGAGGAGAGGGAGGAGGAGGAGAAGGAGGAGGATGAGGAGGAAGAGGAGGATGAGGAGGGAGGGGGAGGGAGGACGGCGAGCAGACGGGCAAGGCAACTGACGGAACACGGCCCCGATCAAGTTCTGGTGACCCCCCTCCCTGATTTGGCGGATGGGAAGCACGAGTGGGCGCATGAGGGGGAGGATAAGGAAGACCAGAAGGAGTCAGATCAACATGACGTGGGAACATATGACGGTGAAGAGGAGAAGTAGGAGGGAGAGGAATGTGTAGAAGGGTCATGCAGAAACGATCCTGGGGCAAGTTGCCTTGAGCAAGTACGCGTAGGAGCTCACCTTAGAACACAGTGGGAAACGGGCGACGTCAACCGAACCTCAAAGTCAGACTGAGCGTACCCAGGAATGAGCCACCTATGCCTTCGCGGTCCGTTCGATGGAGGAGGAGGAGGGCAGCAGCGCGGAGGACCAGGAGGACCAGAGTACCCATGGGCGCCCAGGATTGCGTCAGTGATGGACCAACACGCCCCTCCGGCCCAAGTCCTCTCCTCGTTAGTCCCTGCAGCTGCTTGCTTTCACTGCGGGAAGGGCCCGCCCCCTCCCCCTCCACCACCACCACCAGAAGTTGGAGGGGGAGGGGGTCCTCCTCCTCCTCCTCCTCCTCCTTCTCCCCCTCCTCCTCCTCCTCCTCCTCCTCCTCCTCCTCCTCCTCCTCCTCCTCCTCCTCCCTCTGAAAGCCCGAACGACGAGCGCCCCGTGGTCCTTCCCTTCACGCACAGCGAGGCCCCGCCTCGTGTGAGGGGTTCGTCTCCATCCTTCTACTTCTATCCTTTCGGCTATCGGACGGGCAGTGCGGAGTGACCACAGAGGCAAACAGGGAGTGTCCAGCGATGGCCTCGCTTCGACAGGGGAAAAAGCACACACAAAACAAACAAACACACGGACAAAAACACACACACGGACACCGACACGGATTTGTCCCCCCTCCGTGCAAGCGCTGCGTGCTGTCAGAAGTTGCAGAACTTGCGGAGCTTGTGTCGTGCCCTCTGTCGCAGCCAGCTCCAGAGCCCCGGGCCGGAAGTGAGCCGCCCTCCATCCGTGCGGCTGCTGCGCACCGTGGAACTGTGGGGCGTGCACATCGAGGGAACACCTCGAGCGGGAGCCTCGCCCCTCCGTGCAGCTGTCGGGGATGTTTGAGGCGAGTGTGCACGGCGCCATTGTGAGAGCCGCATTGTGAAAAGAGGTGGATATCCCTCTCTTTTCTCTTTTTCCTTTCTTTAGTGGCCAGTGTGCTTGCACGGTGGACCACTGTCGCTTCTGTAATCTGTAATCCGCTCGCCATCAGTTGTATCCCACCCCCCCGGCCGGGGTTGTTAGATTTTTTGAGGGAGCCCCCGCCTGCCCACGCTGCATGCAGCGTTCGCCAGACCCGACGCAGTCCCGGTGGTCCCTGAGTATGCCGTCTCGCGGCGCCGACGAGTGACGGCACCGTACCGCGGTCGCCGGACCCCACAGGATCCCTGTGGTCCCTGAGTGTCCCGCCTCGCGTCTTCGACGAATGACGACACCTTACGTACCAGACGGCCCCGAGGGGGAGGCGTCACGGCGTCACGCCGTCCAGGCGTCACGACGCATGAGCAGAGAGAGACGAATAATCTACATCAAGAACACACATCAACAACTGACACCCAAGTCACAACACACAAATGCCATGACATGTCACACCACACTACAATGACTGGAACACAACAGAGTACCTAATATAATAACATGCCAGCTCATACAATAGCTTAACAGTGTATACCAGAGCATAGCAGGTATCATCACATGGCATTCCATAGCGTAACATTAGAAATCATACTAGGTCGGAGCGGAGCGTAGCAGCGTATATCATACACGAACTTAATCGGCTACTGCCACTGTGGCAACGAGCATGCTGCATCATGCAACGGGTATAGCATATATGTCGGGCCATGCCACAACATGACATACCATGACCTAGTTTACCAAACGATGCGTAGCATGCCACATCATACCAGAACGTCCATATCATAACATAGCATAGCATGGCATCGCATCGCGTACCAGAACACATCATCACCACAAAACATATCATACCATATCATATTTTGACATAGCGGGGCGTACCAGAGTACATCATACCATACATACCATAGCATGCCAGACGTGTTATTACTTGCATCACGACGACAACGGCTACACCACAACAGGCGAACTATAACATACTTGGGACGGGACTCTCCCAGCACACTAAGCATTAACATACTGTAAGGGGCAGGACATACCACAACACAGCACAACACTCCATGCCATACCATACCTTCGACAGGGCGGTACATACAAGCTTACAGCAGATCTACCACGACGGCACCGACGATACGATAACATAGTGGGGCATACCACAGAGTACTAGTATCATAAGCACACCAATTATCATATCTCCATGCGTTCCAGCACACCATCCACATCCAGTTCAGCATAATTTTCTAGTCGAGCAGTTGAAGCACGTAACAACTAAGCTGTCTTGTCACAACGAGAGAAGCATGATATAGGTGACACTGGTACAGCACAGCAACTGGTAGCACGCATGCGCACCTCAAACACATAGTACACCATACACACAGTATCATGAAAAACAGTGGAAGCATGCATAATAGTGTAAGGCAGAAGGTATCTGGAGCGCATTTCCATATCAATATTGCAATGTTATACGATCAGGCGGTACAATTTCAAGCATGCGTGAAATAGCATAATTTCCGAGCGTATACTGTTTCGAGTCGACCAGGAGATAATGTATCTGAACGCAAGCAAACACCACACACACCACATCTCTACGCATACTACTACATAGCAGACCATCGTATTGTTGGGTAGTATTGCGAAGGCCTGACGGCCGGTGCCGCCGACCCTGTTCGCAATGCGCAGCAAGAGGCACGGGCTGTGGGATGGTTTTGGGGAACGGGGAGAAGGACGAGAAGGTGGGGGAGGGAAAGGTCGTATCTGACCGGGGACTTCCCCGGGACTCCCCTGGGACCCCCCCCGGGACCCCCCCTCCCCTTCCCGTCGGGGAAGGGAAAGGGAAGGGACTTCCCTTCGACTCAATTACGACGTTGCTCAAGGTCGGTACGGGGGGGGGCGTCGTATCTGACCCGGGGGGGGGGTCGCTACCCCCCCCCGCTACCCCCCCCCCCTCCCGGCGGGGGAGGGATCAAAGGGAAGGGGCTTCCCTTCGACTGAATTACGACGTTGCTCAAGGTCGGTACGGGGGGGGGGCGTCGTATCTGACCCGGGGGGGGGGTCGCTACCCCCCCCGCTACCCCCCCCCCCTCCCGGCGGGGGAGGGATCAAAGGGAAGGGGCTTCCCTTCGACTGAATTACGACGTTGCTCAAGGTCGGCTTGGCTCGAGCGGCTCGGGCGCGGCTCGGGCGGCTGGGGCGCAGGACAGAGACGACGAGTACAAAGAATAACGGAGATGACGGCTCGAACGGAAAAGCCCCTCACACACGCCGACAGGGTCGGCGGATTTTCAAGACGAGAGTTGAATGCAACACAACATAGCAGGACATAGTGTATCAACGCGTCATACAAGTGAGCGCAGCAGAACACCATCAATTAATACAGTCGAATAGTGTAGGATCGGGCATGGCTGAATATGGCGGGAGGAAAGCACCAGCGACGGATTAACGGTGCCGTATCGGACGCGACGTGCGCGCCGAAATCAGGCTGGCCACAGGAACAAGAGGCGCAGCAACGATCGTTTGGACGACGGTATCAAGCGTGACAGGCGTCACGACGTACCGCCGGCCCGCCCAGAGCGGAACTAGAGATTAATAGAGCATTCTGCAATACAACACAAGTGGATGCACCACACTTCAAACACGTAGGATACCTTCACGACACCCTCTGCCACGCAATCTGCGGGCCGACGTGGGGTTGACCACATAACCAACACATATATGGATAGAGCAGAACAGAACGGGACACACCGTTTTATAGTGTAATGCAGCAGCTACCGAGTAACGGCGTCTTATCAAAAGTGGCATGCGCGCCGAGCTAAGGCTGGCCACAGTAACAAACAGCACTCGGGAAGAATCGTCGAAGGTTTCGGTGAGCATCACTCGAAGCAAATATTCGAGATACTTCGCGTAACCCCACCAGCCCATCCATAAATGACGCCCAGACGAGTTGCCTTGAGCAGGGATGTGGGCGAGCATGCAGTATAATGAAGGGCTGGGTATGAAGTCGTACCTCAAGAGGGGGAGGATGGGTGAGGAATCTGACGAGGAGGAAGCGGAGGAGGAGGAGGAGGAGGAGGAGGAGGAGGAACAGGAGGAGGAGGGGGAGGAGGAGGAGGAGGAGGAGGAGGAGGAGGAGGAGGTGGTGGATGAGGGAGTGGTGGAGGAGGGAAAGGGGGAGCGGGAGGAGGAGGAGGAGGAGGAATAGGCGGAGGAGGAGGAGGAGGAGGAGGAGGAGGAAGAGGGGAGGAGGAGGAGGAGGAGGAGGAGGAGGAGGAGTCCTGGAGGAGATCGAACAAAGGAGGGGGTGTATTGAATTAGTACCCCCCGAGGAGGCTTCACTGTGGTCACTATTATTTGGTCGAATCAATGATCTTGGTCTTCTCGCCGAGGCCCCTCGAGGCGTCTTGGGTGCCCCTGGGTGGCATCTGGGTGGCCTTTCGGGGTCTCTTGGGAGCCTTTTTGGGGCATCTTGCGGGCCGCTTGGGGCCTCTTGGGCACCTCTTGGGGCGCTCGTGGGGCACCTTTGGGAGCTTCCGGGGCCATCTTGGGGTCACCTAGAAGAAGATCGATGAAAGAAGGGGGAGGTTCCCATTAGGTCCTTTCCCCCCTCAAGAGGCCGACATGTGGCCAACACCTTAGTCAGATCAGCGATTCTGCCTTCTCGCCGAGGCCATCTTGCACGCTCCAACCACCCGTGAACCCCCCGTCCAGGTCCAGGGGGAGGGGGCAGGAGGAGAGGTAAACATTTCCCCGAAGGGAAGAGGAAGTGCTGGAAACCACTCACGCCCTGAAGGGCTGGTGGGATTTGTCCCAACCATCCTATGTTGAGTTTGGTCTTCGTTTTGAATCAGCAGCGCCACGCGTCCTCTCCTCTCCTTCTCACCCTTCTCCTCCTCCTCCTCCTCCTCCTCCCATCCCTTGCCTCTGCCATCCGCGTGTTCCTGTTTCGGCACACCCCTCACACGTTTCGTGGCCCCCACAGGGAGCTCCTCCTGAGGCCCCAGTGGTTGTGCCCGCATGCCGCTGCCACCCAGCTCCTCCTATGGCCCCAGTGGTTGCGCCCGCATGCCGCCGCCACACCATTTTGGCGCACCCGTCACACGTTTCGTGGCCCCATTAGGAGCTCTACCTATTGCCCCAGCGTTTGCGCCCGCATGCTCCACCACTCTACTTCGGCGCCAAGGCGAGGACCCCAGTTTGAAAAGTTACCGCCCTCCATCCGGATAGCTGCTGGACTTCTTGAAGCGAGTGCGTGCGGCGCCAAGGCGAGGGCCCCAAATTGGAAATGTACCGCCTCCAGCAGTGTACGTGTTGGATTTTGGTAAGACGAGTCTGCGCGATGCCAGGGCGAGACCCCTGCTTTGACACTCAGCTGGCTTCCATCCGTGTGGCCTACATCCGTGTGGCTCAGTGATTTCTGTTCGATGGATGTTTGATATTTCATGTTTTAGGAGCGTAAGGTGCGATGACGTCTCAAGCGAAACGCCTGGACAGACGAACACGGCATGTCTGGTGGTTCGACAGGGAGGAGCTATCAGTGAATAGACGCGATGGAGGGAGGACGGCTAGCAGAAGCAACAGGAAGCTGACGGACAGAACACATTTCTGCTCACGTTTCGTTGGCCCCCGGATGGGAGGAGGAGGAGGCGCAGGAGGAGGAGGCGGAGGAGGAGGAGGAAGAGGAGGAGGCGGGTGAGGAGGATGGTGAGGCGGAGGCGGAGGAGGACGGGGAGGAGGAGGAGGAGGAGGAGGAGGAGGAGGAGGTTGAGGAGGAGGAGGAGGACCAGAGTAAACCCAATAGACTTAGACGACCACCCTTCTGGTGAGAAGGAGGTTGAGGGGTAGGTGGGAAAGAACCAACTGCTGGCAAATGCGATGCGTGTAATGATGACGATGCTGGTGACGCGCCCTCGAGTTAGCGACGACGCGTGATGACGATGTTGCGCTACGATGTAATGCCACTATCGTCCCCGCTGTCAGTCTCACTCGATCGATCCCACTATCGAACTCGCGGCCAGTCTTAGTACCAATGGATCTTGCGATCGACCCCACTATCGATCCCACTAGCGATCTCACTGTTGGCCCTTCTATCGATTTCATTATCGATCTCACAACCAATGTCACAATCAACCTCGCTGTCAATCTCACGTTTGATTTCACTATTTCTCCCATTCTAGCGGTCTCATTATCGATCTCCCTATTGACTTTACCACGGATACCAAGCCGGGACAGTCCCCGGCAAACGCCCGCCCACCACCGACAGAACACCGACGACACACCAACGGGACACCACAGGACACCATGGCGGGACACCCTGGGCCACCGCGCGCCCACAAGGGGCGGAGGGGCGGTCCACTGCATCCGAATCGCCGTAGCGGCTGCGGGGTCAGTCTTCTCGCGCGCCCGCGCAGCTTCGCCTCGCCCGCACGCGCGACACGAGCACGAAGCCGAAGCCGGTTTCCCGCTGGAGGGGCCCTCCGTGCCACTGCTCCCTCCCCCCCCCCGCCTCCGAGTCAGAGGTGCCGCAGAGCACTCCCTCCCGTCCCAGGTCTCTGCTGCTCACTCCCCGTTGGAAAGACCAGCGCACGCACAGGCCTGCCATATTCGGGCGAGGGCCCCCGCTGTGATGAGGAGTTGCTCCGCGAGCGAAGAACGGTATAACATAAACTTTTTCGCTGTCGGGGGAGCTCCAAGAAGGGCCCAAGAGGCACCAAAGACTGCCCCAAGAGCGCCCAGGATCGCCTCAAGAGGGCCCCAAGAACGCCCCAAGAGGCTGTGTCGATGGCGCCTGTCCCTGGGCGGCTGGAAAGTTTATACCCCGAGTTTTTAAGTTTATGCCATTGTTGTTCCCCTGGCCCCCAGGTAGCCCCCTCCAGACTGCAGCTGCTTCCTGGGACTGCAGTGTCTTCCGCTGGACTGCAGGCACCCCCAAAGCGGTTGAGGGACACACAGCGCAGTTCAACGAGGTATCCAGCGAGATTCCCGTTTTGTGTAATTGTTGCATCAGCTTACTTCTGGCCGTGAACATCGAGAAAGTCTCAAGAGATAGACCCAGTTTGAAAAGGAGCTGCCATCCATCCGTGCAGCGGTAACGTATGTATGCTCAAGGTTCCGGTCTTTTGGCTTGAGGAGGTGTCAGGCGACATCCACATTTTGAAAGGGAGCCGTCCTCGATCCCTGTCGCTGGTGCAAGCTTTTTGTGCAACCGTGCGCGGCGCTGGGGCGAGATCTCCACTTTGAAATAGGCCCGTGCTCCATCCTTCTCGCTGCGCGTGCTGTTTGCAAGTCTTGAGGACAAGCGTGCGCGGCGCTGGGGGCGAGTGGCCTATTTTGAAAGCTACCCTCTCCATCCTTGTCAGCATTGCGAGCGCTTTTGGCATGAATGTGCGCGGCGCTGGGGCGACAGTTTTTTGTTGGCAAGGGCCTGCCCACCAGACTAACAACTCCTGCGAGCCTGAAGACGAGTGCGCGCGGCGCTTGGGCGAGAGCTCTAGTTCCCAACCGTCCTGTGGTGTTGGGTCTTCGTTTTGAAGAGACAGTCCCCGCGTCTCTCCCTCCTTCTTTCTCCTCCCCCCTCCTCCTCTCATCATCAGCATCGGCACCATCGTTTTGGCACATACCTCACACGTTTCGTGGCCCCACAGGGAGCTCCATCGAATGCCCCAGTGGTGTGCACGGTGCCGACACGAGAGCTCCACTTTGAAAAGCACCTCTCCAGCGTGATCTTTCTTGCAAGTTTTTAGGAATACAGTGCGCGGCTCTGGGGCGATAGCCCCATGTTAAAAACGCCCTCTCCAGTCTTGTAGCTGCTGCATTTTGTTTAGGCGCATGTGCGCGTCGCTGTGGCGAGAGCCCCATTTTGAGAACGACCCCCTGCATCCTTGTGTGAGGGTTGTAACTTTGAAGCTTCAGAATCAGACATGGTGACCAGACGCTTGCTGAATAATTGTGTTACCAGAAGAAACCCTTTGTCTCCGCATGTGTCTCCGCCGTTTGGCATTCGACCCTTAATCGCCCAGTTCGCATTGCTTATTCCCCTTTCCAAGCCTTCCCCCAGCCAGTCAATACCCCGTATAGTGTGACTCCCCGGATCGATCCTGAGTTCTCCCATTTTGAAGACCCCGCTGCTCACATTCCGCTCCCCCGCTTTTTTCTTCGCAACGAACCGAGCTTTTTTGCGACATATTCCATTGCCGGAGGCTTCCATGGAAGAGCTGACCTCAAAGTTCAAGCAGATGAAGGCAATGATTAGTGCCTGAGTAAGGGGGCTAAGGCTAAGAAGAGTGACGAGTAGGAGGGATGGAGGGTGGACGGGAGGACGGCCTGGGAGGAGACGATCTGTGCAGGACGGGTAGGGAGGGAGCGGAGGGGAGGATGGAGGGAACAACGGGCCAGAATGGAATAATGGGTCATGATTATTCGAAAACCAAGGCTGGTGCAGCCGACCTGACGGATTCCAACAGCTATGTTCGCCAGTTTGGATATCGTTAGGCAGCTTTGTTTCGGTAGACCTGCTTAGTTTTCGTTTCGCAAGTGTTGCCATCATTCTGCCCATGACAGCAGCCTCGACTTCGATATGCCGCTCTGTCCTGCTTAGCGTTCGATCCAGATTCACCTTGATAGTTGTCGATCGTCGAGTGTGTGTAAGTTGGAAGCGAACAGCGCTTCGGAACCAATGGACCGAAACGCAGCAATGGCGTTCCAGAGAACGTGGTCTGGCCTCGTTCGAGATCTGCGTCGACTTGCGTAGCGACACAGTCAGCGCATTCAGAGAGGTTCGGGCCTTGCATGGCAGCAGTCAAACGTTCATCCGCAAACTAGTGAATGGGAGAGCGCCATTCTGGGTATGCGAAGGCTTCTTTGATAATGTGCGTATCATTGCTAGGTGGAATCAGTGTCGGTATGATTGACTCTTGTTCGAGTGCGTTTCACCCCAACACTTCTGTGGTATTGGATCCCCGCTTGAGATCTGCAACACCGCGCGTACACTCCTCCCCACTCCTCCTCCTCCTCCTCCTCCTCTTCCTTCTGTTGCTTATCCTCCTTCTCCTACTCCTCATCCTCCTCCACCTCCTCCTCCCCCCCCATTTCGGCCCTTCCCTCGCACGTTTCGTGTCCCCACAGGGAACTCCACCTACGGCACCAATGACGGCGCCCACGTGCGTTCCCCACGCATTTTGACAGATCCCTATCATGGACCGTAGCCCCGTAGGGAGCTCCGCTTATGGCACTAATGGGGGCGCGCACATGCGCTTCCTGCTAAGTTCGGGACCCCTCTCACGCGGACCGTGGCCCCGTAGGGAGCTCTACTTTCGGCATCAGTGATGGCGCCCACATGCGCCCTCCCGCCCATTTCACCACACGGACCGTGCCCGTGTTCGTACTCCCGCCTTGCGGACGAGGGCGAGGATGAACATTACGAGGATGAGTAGGAAGATGAAGAGGAGGTGGACGAGGGTGAGGATTCATGCAGGCCGGAGAGGGACCAGGATGAGGATGGCGAGAATGGGGATGATAAGGCGTGCACGTTCGGAATATAACGGTGAATGTGATGATAATCACGGGGATGGGGATCAGGAGGAGGACAAAGATCCGGATGATGAGAATTATGAGGAACATAATGATCAGATGAAGAGGTGGACGACGACGATCAGGATGATGAGGGCTGGCGACGATGCGAGGAGAAGGAGGAAGATTTCGACAAAGATGTTTATCACCATGAGGAAGTTGGGGACAATGACGATGATGATGATGATGATGATGATGATGATGATGATGATGATGATGATGATGATGCTGATGCTGATGCTGATGATGCTGATGATGATAATGGTGATGATGATGACGATGCTGATGACGATGCTGATGACGATGATGACAATCATGGTGATGACGATGATTATGATTGTGGTGGTGATGATGATGATAGTAAGGATGATGGTGAGGCTGATGATGATGATGGTTGCGATGGTCATGGTCATGGTCATGGTGATGATGATGATGCTGATGGTGATGATGATGATGCTGATGCTGTTGATGTTGTTGATGATGATGATGATGATGATGATGATGATGATGATGATGATTACGATTATGATTCTGATGATGCTGCTGCGGACGATGCTGCTGATGATGCTGATGATGATGTTGTTGATGATGAAAACGATGATGATAATGATTATGATTATGATTATGATGATGATGATCATGATGATGATGATGATGATGATGATGATGATGATGATGATGATGATGCTGATGATGATGATGATGCTGATGATGATGATGATGATGATGATGATGATGCTGCTGATGATGGTGATGACGACGATGGCGATGACGATGTGGAGGATGACGACGTTGAGGATGATAGCCAGGAGGTGCGGACCATATCCTGAGCTCCACGCAGCTGCAGATGGTTGGGTGGCTCAAGTTGGCTCAAGGCTCAAGCCGCAAGGCGCAAGGAGAAGGTGTATTTCTCTTGACTGCTCCTGTACGCGTGCTGCGTACTGTGTACTGCGTACTGCGTCCAAAGGCGTTCGCGAGCGCGGGTAAACCGAGGTGTTTCTTGTTCCTCCCCTCGCGAGCGGGCCGCAATGTCCAGCAGCAGCGCGCCGATGAGCTCCATGAACGCGCTGGAGGCCAGGCTCGACGACCACTTGAGCAACGATCACTGGCTCGGCATCAGCACCCACGCCAGCACCTACGACAGCACCAACGTCAGCATCCGTGCCAGCTCTGATGACGGCACCTCCATGAATGTATTGGGTCAGACGCTGCCTGGAGCCTTGGCCGCACTCGCCGGATCAGCGGCGGCGGAAACCGTGACACCGTGCAGTGACAGTGACGCCAGCGACACCACCAATGACAGCATGCAGGACCACACCGATCAGGAGGACCTGACGCGAGCACCTACGCCAGCACTGACGCCAGCACAGACCTCCGATGACGCTGACGCCCAGGGGCTCGACCCCGACCCCGGAGACTTTGGCTCCGATGTAAGCTGTGGGACCCCCCCCGACGGCCAGGTTAACGTCACCGCATTATCGCTGTACCAGCCTATCCTCGGTTTTAGGCGCCAGCGCTAGCACCGACTCCAGCGCTCACGCCAGCACTGACGCCAGCGACAATGTTAGCGCCAACGCTAGCACCTAATTACGCCAGCACCCACGCCAGCACTGACGCCAGCACCCATGGCAACTACGCCTGCACTGACGCTAGCACCTACGACAGCACCGACGCCAGCACTGACGCCAGCACCGACCCCGACGCCCAGAGGGACGTCCTGGGGCTCGACCCCGACCCCAGAAACCTTGGCTCCGACGCGAGCTGTGGGACCCCACCCCCCGTCAGCTGGGCTTCCGGCACCGCACCGCGCACGCTGTGGCAGCACGCGCGGCGTGCGACAGGACCTCTATGCAAGCTGTGGGAACCCTGGCGACACCCCGTGAGAGTCCCGCGTCCTGCAGGAGGTCCGCACCGCTCGCCGCCGCCGCGGCTGCGGCCCGCGCGCGAGCGGCCGCACCCGCACAGGTCCAGGCAGAGTGGCGTTTCTGGATGCATGGCGAGCCCCAGTTGGCCGCGATGGCGTCACCGCGTTGTCGTTGTACCGGCCCATCTTCGGTTTAAGGCGCGACCCAGGGGCTGAAAGGCTGCACTCCTCGCACCGACGACCACACCAGCGCAGACATCCATGGCAACCTGGACGCCCACACCCACCTCGGCACCCACGACGGCCCCGACGCCACTCCGAGACGCAACACGGATGCCGGCCTCGACGGCGACGGCACCACAAGGTGCAGCGGTGCACCGCGACATCTGGCTGCACCAATGCGACCACCAGGAAGCCCCCCGGGGGATACAGATCTTTGCGAAGATGCTGACGGGGAAAAGCACCCTGCCCAACGTGGCGACCAGCTGCACGATCGAGGACGCCAAAGCGTGCATCCAGGACTCCGAGGACATCCCGCCTAAGCAACAGCGCCCCATCTGTGGTGGCAAGCAGCCGGAGAGCAGTCGCATACTCACGGACTGCAACATCCAGAAGTGCGCCACGCTGCACCTGCACCTGGCACTCCGCCTGCGCAAGGGAGGCCCGGAATCCCCACTGGCTTTTTTTTTTTTTTTTTTTTTTCTTCTCCTGCCAGCGCAGTGCGTGCCCACCTTTCGGGGCTCTGGCCCCTGCTCCTCCTCCTCCTCCTCCTCCTCCTCCTCCTCCTCCTCCCCCCTCCTCCCTCCTCCCTCCTCCCTCCTCCCTCCTCCCTCCTCCCTCCTTCCTCCTTCCTCCTCCTCCTCCTCCTCTCCTCCTCCTCCCTCCTCCTCCTCCTCCTCCCTCCTCCTCCTCCTCCTCCTCCTCCTCCTCCCCCCCCTCCTGCAACATGGAAGGGGAACTGCAGGCTCCAGAAGCGCCACTCTGCCCGGACCTGTGCGGGTGCGGCCGCTCGCGCCCGGGCCGCAGCCGCGGCGGAGGCGAGGGGTGCGGACCTCCCGCAGGACACGGGACTTTCTCGGGGTGTCGCCGGGCTCGCCACGCATCCGGCTCCCGCTGCTGCAGATTCCCCGCCTGGACTCGGGGATCTGGGGCAACTCGCCCCGCCGAGCATCTCCCAGCTCCTCCCGTCCGCGCGCGGCTTCCAGGAGCTCCTTGGGGCGGAGGCTCTCTTGGCAGGACCTCGCGGCGATCCTGGGCAAGCTCGCCTGCAGGCCGGACGACGCGGATCCTCGGGCGCAGCTGGGCTTCGGGCCACTGTGCGCCCCCGAACCTACGGAGCGCGACATCCTGGCCAGGGCCCGAACTGCTCACCTCTTCTTAAGCCCGGGGGAGCACGAGGCACGGGCCGAGCAGGGCCTTGGCCAGCCCGGCGAGCGCGGTGATCTCGGCTGCGGCGGGGCGCACTGCGAGGCCGGCCTCGCGGGACGTCCGCGCGGGTCGACGGCAGCTCCGCCCGGACCGCCTTCCGCAGTGGAGAGGGCTGGGCGATGATGCATTCACTTTAAGCCGGCCCTCTCCCTCTGCAGGAGGAACATCCAACCATGGGCAGACAACAGTTTGGGGACGACTTGTTCTTTTACTACTATATATAACATATTTTGTGGGAGTATTCTTCGTCCAACGTCCGCCTGTAGGGGGCCATGCCCGACCTTGTCACTACCTGCCGTCCGGGCCTTGCCCGGCGCGGAGGAGCACGACCTCCTCACGCAGTGGTCGCCGGTCCTCGACCCGCGGGGCCGCCTTCGCTCC